GAAAAAAAGAAAAGAAAAAAGAAAGAATTTTTTCCATCAAATCCATCTTCTGACAGAGACACAGATCGTATTTGGGCAGCATTTGAATCCTGGATGCTTTGTTACCTGTGAGATTTGATCTGAGCTGCAGGGGGATTTCTACTTGCTTAGTCAGCACTCTGTTTCAGATAATTCTTCTTCTTCTTTTTTTTTGCGGTACTGGGGATTGAACTCAGGACTTTGAGCTTGCTAGGCAAGTGCTTATTCTACTGAGCTATCTTCCTGGTCCTCAGCTAATTCTTCTAACAGCCTTACTCACAAGTGTTTCCAATGACTCCGAAAACCTGAAAAGTTAAAATTCTCAAAATTGACACAAAATATTGAGCTCTAAGCTTGCAAATAAATCTCAGGTAGATTGTCTTACTGCCTTCCTAAATCTTTTACTAACATCAAAAATGAAGTGAATATAACAGAGCCCAACATACTTGGTCTTTGGTGAGAACTTTAGGTGAACTATAAAGATAGTTTTTACCTTAGACTGTTCTTCATCCATTGAAGATTCTTCTGATGCATGAGGAGTATTACTCAAAGAGCTGCTTCTCTGATCATCAGTGGTCACTTCAGGAGGTACTTCTACCACTGACAGTCGACAGCTGTCACTCCTTCCTCCACCTAGCTCTTCCATCCTTGAATGGGAAAAAGATCGAGACCGGGTTTCTTGAGAGAGCTCTACAAACTTCTCTAGGGCACTAAAAAAATCAATGCGATCTGTACTGAAATCTGAAATCTCAGCCTGACAGCTGGGCTGGGGGCTTGGAGACTCAGGATCAGGAGACATGGGGAGGTCTTTCAGTCCAGACGTTAACTCTTCCATAGGCAGTAAGTGAACGTTTATGTCTGCTTTTAGTGCATCAGTCTCTAGATCTTCCACTGTTAAATCTGGGAACTTGTTGGCCATTTCTGGGACTTGTCCAGGTTGGATTAAGGCTTTAGACGCATGGCAGTTGTCAAGAGAGAATTTTGACTCGCTGAGACAAAACCCTGATGAACATCCATTGATATCATTTAAGTTTAGTTCATCTTCAATCTGTCCAGCATGAAATTCCCTAGAAGTAAATTCCAAGCAGATCATTCTTTCTTTGGTACACAGGGCTTTCTGACTTGTATCTTGTGGGATCACATGTTCCACAAAGACAGGAGGTATGGATGGGTGACTCTCCATAGTTTTTACCTCAGCAATCTGGTCTGCTGAGGTAGTGATCTCTTTCTTGTTGAGTTCTAGTCCAGGTTTACAGATGGGTTCATGGTGGTCTGAGAGATCACTGTCTGAATGAGATCTCCAGAGTTTGTTATGTCGTTGTTTGCTGTAGAGAACATACACAGGAATCACTTAACTCTCTTTTATAAAAACAGTCTACACCCTCCCAGGAAACCACCCCAGATAAACTTAACGTGCATAAGCATTTCAAAAAATGTTCACTTCAACTAATAGCAAAGAAAAAAAAAGCAAAACAGAAACAATAAATCAACATGACATTTGACTTTTTTTTAACCTATCAGACAAACAAGAGATGAAATGGTTGTTAACAACTGCTGTTGATAATGGTATGGTCAAACAAACTCACTCATATGTTGTTGGTAGAAGTGTGACCTGTAGACTTTTTAAGATCTGTTCAAACTTATTTATTTACATTTATTTATTTTTGTGGCCAGCTCAGCCTGCTGTGGGGGTGGGACTGGTGTGGCATGTGGTGCCAGGGATTGAACAGTATTTCTTGGGCTTGCCTAAGCTTGCCTTAGTCGCTTTAGACTGCTGAGCTATCTCACCAGCCACCAGATCTCTTCAAATTTAACATGCTAGCCAACCAACAATTCTTTCATTTTCTTGCTCATGCTGGTTTTTTGGCAGAACTGGGGATTGAACTCAGACCTTTGTGCTTGCCAAGCAAGTGCTTATTCTACTGAGCCATCTCCCCCGCCCTCATTTTCTTGGAGAATTATTACAATTGCACAACTATATACATGCAAAGATAGATTTTATGACACTAAATCTTATGATTTAGATTTTATGACACTAAAAATTATACACCAAAACAAATTATAGGCCATATATCTATATGCTATGAGGAATTTTAGTGGAATGCCCACATTACATTATTAAGTGAAAAAGTATGTTGAACACATTTCATGTTAGAGTAAGTACAGGAAAAGGACTGGAGAAATAACAAACTGGTAACAGTGATTCTTCAAGGAGAACAGAAAGACTTCTGGGGAGGCTATTACTTCTACAATTTTACAATTTTTGAACTTAAAAAAATGAAGAGCTAAATTAAATATCTCCTTTAAAAATGAACACATTTAACAATTATAATCAGAAAAAAATCTAAAATCAAAACAACATACAAATCATATGAAGGAAATATACTGGATTTTATTACCAAGTTCTCATGATTGAGAGATAAAGGAGTTATATGTAGGATTTTTTTTTTTTTTTTTTTTTGTGGTACCAGGGATGGAACTCAGGACCCTGTGCTTGCCAGGCAAGTGCTTATTCTACTGAACTATCTCCCCAGCCCCATATATAGGATTAATGGCTGATGTGGATGTGTGGGAGAATGCTGATCATTCTTAGATCAGAAAATAGAGGTCAGGTAGCTTAGTGGTAGAATTCTTGCCTAACACATGTGAGGCCCTAGTTTTAATTCCTGGTACCACAAAACCAAACCCAACCCAGTCCAACCCAACTCAACCCAACCCAACCCAACCCAACCCAACACAATTTTTCTGGGCATGGTCGCACATGCCTATAAGCCCAGGTACTTGGGAGGCTTAGGTAGGACAATTCTAAATTCAATGCCACCCTGGGCAACTTAGTGAGACTGTAATAATACAAAAGGCTAGAGATATAGCTCAATAATGCCCCTTACTTCAATCCCCAGTATCATACAACATGCACATGCCAGGCACGAGGTGATGCATATAACCCCAGCACTTAGGAGACTGAGGTAGAAGGATCAATATGATTTTGAAGGCAGTATGAGCTATAAAATGAGTTTAAAGTCAGCCTGAACACAGTGAAATCCTGTCTGAAAACCATGGAAAACAAAAACAAAACAAAATAAAAACTATATGATATAATGTTAAAAGAAGACCATAAGGACTAAAAGGACCATGACATAATTTTGAAAACAATAAAATTAGTGGAAAAAT